TTACGGTTCCCTTTGCCGCGCATAATCACCGAATACTTACGGGACTGGGAGTTTCCAATATGTCAAATTGCTCCAAACTCGTGGAAACGAATCATCGGGTTGTTAGTGCTTTTTGCTGAGAAAAAATGGGATCTGCCGTCGGCAAAGGACATGAGGAGCATGTTCACATTCCGAAAGAGTCCGGACAGACAAGTGTCGGACCCGCTTCTCACCTTCTCAATTGTCGGGAAGCCGCAGCCAAAGGGTTAAAGTTGGTGAGCTAATAATGGAAGTCCCGGACACTCTTCATGGGTTCCAAGAGGAATGGTTATGGGTTGGGGGAGACTGGCAGTGCCCCGACTTCGCTAATGATCTCCTTGCCGATGGGATAAGCATCCCAATGGCCACTAAATCTGGTTATTGTAAGTTACTTTTTCATTTTTCTTGACTTCGGCTATTAATATTTTGTTTTTTGTTGTCGCTAACAGGTGGACTTTTGTGACCTTGTAGCAAAACCGACTGGGAAGAAAGAGCCGAAGTTTGAAGGTCTACTGTACGATCGAGTAGACAAGTTGTTTGAAGTGTCCGCCAACAAACGCCGATATCAACGACTTGTGAAGGATTCTCGCTTAGAGTTGGCTGGATTGTCGCCTGGAGTACTTAATTCTTCATTCTTACCAGGTAATCTTCTCCACTTGTTTCGTTCATTTCGCATCATCCCTCGTATTTAACGATATCATTCTAACTTTAAGCTTACTGCAACAGTTTATTACCCATTGCTGGGATACTTCGGTTTCGGAGATCCCATAGAAGCTGAAGAGCATCGGAGACGCAATCCGAATTGGGATTTGAAAAACAAAGTCGGAAAGAACAAGAATCTTCGATCAACCGAGATGGCCGGACGTCTGAATCTTCTCAAGGCATGGAAGAAAAATCCCAACCGATCTCAGAGCGCTGTTGGTGAACCATCATCAACCAGGGCAGAACCGACACCGGCTATCGCGAGCGAGCCAGCAGTTACCGATGTCCCGCCTTTGGAAGTAGAGCCACTACGGCAGATAATGACGCCGGTGGGTGAATCTGTGGTTGAGACGGAGATCTCTCAAGAAGGACACGAGGTGCCCGACGAGCCAGTAGTTCATCGCCGCAAGAGGTCCAGCGTGTCTCACGTGGCTGAGAGAATGAAGAAAAGGCAGGACACCGGTGCCGGCAAGGATAAGGAAGAGGAACCCGAGATCGTTTTGAGGGATTCCTTCCTCAAGATTAATGAGAAGAAGGCGGCGGAGTTGACGCTGCCCGAAGGTGTATTCGACCCCTGGTTTCCGATGTTCCAAACGGTTGTGGAGCCGAAAATTACGAACAACCAGCGGTTCCCCGATGAAGCGGTTAAAGCAGCAAGGGTTCCACTGATGTCGTGGGACCCGAAGACTCACGC